GTCCACACCGAACCTCAGAGCATCCCACCCAGATCCATTCCCCTCTGACCCACCTAATATACACCCTCTACCTCCCTGAACACTACGGGCAATTTAGCATGGCCAATCCGCCTAACCTGCACATCTTTGGACTGTGGGAGGAAACCGGAGCACCCGGAGGAAACCCACGCAGACACGGGGAGAATGTGCAAACTCCACACAGACAGTTGCCCGAGGCTGGAATCGAACCCAGGTCCCTGGCGCTGTGAGGCAGCAGTGCGAACCACTGTGCCACCGTATCGCTTGGAACGTAAAATAAAAATTCATGAATGTTACACAAACTCTGTCCTTCTCCATTTGCTCAAGCAATCTATGTTGAAAACACCATCTTGTGAGTAATAACAATAAACATACACTTATGTGAGATGAAAGCATCGTGATTAGAGATTAGGTCAATCTTGATGAGTGGTTCAATTGTGCTTTGCAAATATGAAAGGTACAATGTCACAGGTGGCATTGTAACTGGAAACTAAGCTAGAAATATTTGTCAGTAAATGACATGGATAGAGATTAAGCCTAAACAAGATTGAGGAGGCTGACTGCAATGGTCTCACTACTGTTCTGGCTGAGATCAACTAAATCAGCAAAGAACAGGAAATGAAGTGGGACCTATCAGCTGTAGACTGAGCTATTCTCAAAATAAACTTGCAGGGTCCGAGGAGAGGTATCAACTAGAGATAAGCATTCCAGTCGTCTAAGAGAAAATATAAATTTTGTAATGTCTCTGGATCAAGGCAGTTTGGAAGTTTTAATGAGGGGTGCAGGGACAAGTAACAAATTCACATATCGACTCCTAGGCCTCACCTGCAAAACTAAGAGTCTCACTGAAATCCATTTGGTATCTGGGGGAGGAGGTGGGAGGGGAACTCACAATAGTGGGAGTCTATTTCCTTCTTGAACTCAAAGGGACAATCCTGTTTTGCTTGAGTTAAAATTAAATAAAAAAAAAACTTACATGCATCTTTACTGGGCCTTGGTCCAGCTCACAACAGGTCTAGTTTGGCCGGGAAGCAACTGCTCCTCTTTGTCCAGGCCTCAATTTAATGTTTTCAAACAGGCCAAAGAACACCATCACATCCTTATCTGAAAATTGCACTCAACTAGACTAGTTATATCTCTTATTAAATCTTGTGTTACATTTAAGCAAATCTAAAGGCTTTTAGATGTCTACTTTAAATATACAAAATACTCATGTAATCCTCCACTCATCCTGATCCAATCCTGCTTTCTGTGCATATGGTGAACAAATATTTCACTTAAAAGATTTTGCTTTTACCCAAACGAGGTCATCAAGTGCCTCTGGTTACTCATTAGTAAATTTTGTCATCAGCTAATTAGGCCACGCTATTAGGTGACACACTCTAAACTGCAAGCAATAAACTTTGTCCATTTTCAGATTTAAATTTCAAAAATATACAAGTTGTCCTTAAACAAAAGACATATTTAGCATAAACTGTCACTGTGCTTTTTTTTAACCTGTTGGGACATGTTATGATTCACCTTCATGGCAGGTGGAATGTGAACCTGGACCTTTTGGTTTAGAGTAGGGACACTATCACTGTGTCACAGGACTCTGAATAGAAAAGACAACAAAACATCTTGGGCAAGTGGATGCCCAAAAGACAGTTCATCCAGATTTGAACCCTGGATCTCTCAATCAATGAAAAGCCCAGAGTGAGAATCAATAAACTGCATTGTGCCCTTGAGATGACAAAATGTATTTATAATATATGAAGGGTAATTTATTTTGTGCATAGTGTAAAGTGACTAATGGTCAATTGGCTGCCTCTTTTACATCTCTCCCAAAGTTCAGTTCTGTTAAATTTGACTCCTCAGACATTGATGCAGTACATGTCCAAAGGGGCAAGATCAGGATAATTTCCAGATTTTGGCTGGCAAATAGCAAGCAACTATCATGTTACGCAAATCCCATGGTGGTGGAGTAGTAGTGTCCCTACCAATGGGCCAGGAGACCTGGTTCAAATCCCACCTGATCCAGAGGTGTGTCATAACATCTCTGAACAGGCTATTTCGAAAATATCTACACAAGTGCCAGGCAATGACCATCGCCAACAACAGAGAATCTAACCATTGCCCTTTAACATTCAATTGCATTACCATCACTGAATCCTCCATTACTAACATCCTGGTGAGGTTACCATTTACTAGAATTGAATTGAATCAGCTACTTAGATATTGTGGTCACAAGAGCAGGCCAGAGATTAGAAATTCAGCAACGAGTAACCCACCTTCTCTCTCCTCGAAACCTGTCCACCATCTATAAAGCACAAGTCAGAAGTGTGAAGGAGTATTTCCCACTTGCCTGGATGAGTACAACTCCAACAACACTCAAGACGGTTGACATCATCCAGGGCAAAGCAGCTGCTTGACTGGCACCACATCTGCAAACACCGATTCCCTCCACCACCAATTCTCAGTAGAAGAAGTGTTTACTATATAAAAGATGAAATACAGAAATTCTTCAAGCCTCATCAGACAGCACCTTCCAAACCCTGACTACTACCATCTGGAACGACAAAGACAGCAAATATATGGGAACACCACCGCCAGCGTGTTTCCCTCCAAGGCATTCACTGTCCCGACTTGGAAATAAACCGTTCCTTCAGTGCCACTATGTCAAAATTCTGGAACACACATCATAATGGCATTCCAGGTCTACCTACACCGCAGTGGTTCAAGAAGGCAGCTCACCACCACCTTCTCCAGAGCAATAAACGCTGGCCCAGCCAGCAATGATTACACCCCATGAATGATTGGAATGAAATAAAAATTATTTAGAACTGAAAATCAGGTGAGCTGAGTAAAATGGGTTGCAACTTCAGTTTCACTATCTTATACCACTGTACTGAGTTATAATTACCACCATGGACTTGTTATTCTCCCTTTGTTCTCGCCAACAAAGCACTTCTGACAGAGTTTTAAAAATGATAGAAATACTTCATAATTCTTGGAAAACTGTTTATAAAATAAAAGGGCACCCTGAAAACATCTCGGGGTTGGATTGAACAATAACAATATGATAAGATCATTGTGTCTAACATTTTTAACACGTTTTCCAAGAGTTCCAAACATGGAAGGAACAGTTGTGAATAAGCGGTGAACACACAGATACAGTTTTAGGACAATACTTGCACATTTCTACTTTAAGTAGCTGTAATGTGTTTTGTATGGAATAAAATCAAAGTTGCTGGAAAAGCTCAGCAGGTCTGGCAGCATCTGTGAAGGAAAAAACTGAGGAAGGGCCACCGGACCCAAAACATTATCTCTGTTTTTCCCTTCACAAATGTTGCCAGACCTGCTGAGCTTTTCCAGCAACTTTGTTTTTGTTCCTGATTTACAGCATCCGCAGTTCTTTCAGTTTTTAATGTGTTTTGTACATTGCTGAAGTATTGTAATGGCTGAAAATACTTCACACCTGAGCTTGTGCTCTATCTGCCTGTGCATGCTATGAAAAAAATGACACACAATGGCATACACTGCTAGTCCAAACTAAATTATTAAAGATTAGTTGATTTAGTTCCTATATTTGTTGTTGTACAAAATCAACTTAGAGATACGAAACTGAAGCCTTTATTTCATGATGACAAATGCATGAATTTGAAATGAAATGATCAATTTAAGCAGTGTAATCTCTTGTAGAGCTAAACCAATGACTAACAGTGTTTGCAGCAAAATTGGTGCAATATTCCTCTTGTGTACTAATAATCTCACATGTCCTACCTCAGGAATTATATTGCCTGTGCAAATTATAATATGAAATTAATCCAAGATTTTTCACAATGGTAATATTCAATTAAGTTAATTGATTTCAAGAGAATGACTAATAAATGCAGATATAAGGCCAGAAGAAGTATTCTGTTCTTTTTCTTGTTTTGTTCCTTTTATCTGGACAAAAGGATTAAATGATAAATAATTTTAAAGTAAATATTTTCATAGTTTCACTAGAATATTTTGATATTGTGGGATGTAGATCAATTTTACAACATGTACTGAGCAATATAAATATACTATGGCTGTATCTAGTCATAAAATCTTGGAAAGACATTTCTGTAAATTGAAAGGTGAAAGAACTGAGAATGCTGGAAATCAGAAACAAAAAAAAAATTGTTGGAAAAGTTCAGCAGGTCTGACAGCATCTGTGGAGAGAAAGTGGAATTTACATTTTGGGTCTAGTGACCAATCTTCAGAACTGATGGTAACTAAGAAATTGTCAGTTTTTATGCGGTAGGGTGGGGGGGTGCGGGGTAAAGAATAATTGATAGGTGGAGATAGACACCAAAGAGAAACAAGAAAAATTGGACAGCAAAAGGGGTGGACATCGATCAGGCTAGGAGAATGAATGGCTGCTAATAGGGAATAGGTATTGTATAATAGCAGACCATGTGTTAGCAAGGTCTGACATGTGGGGATTGGGGTAACATATGGGAAAAGGTGCCTCAAACTCTAAAATTATTGAACTAAATATTGAATCCAGAAGGCTGCAGAGTTCCCAAGGGGAAAAATGAAGTGCTATTCTTCCAGCTTGCGTTGAGCTTTGCTGAAACCCTGTAGCCAGCATGAGACAGAAATGTTCGCCAAGGAACAAGATGGTGTGTTGAAGTGGCAAGCAACTGAAAATGCAGGGACTTTTTTGCAGACAGAACGTAGGTGTTCTGCGGAGCAGTCACCCAGTTTACACTTCATTTCCCCAGTCCAGAGGACACTACATTGTGAGCCGTGAATGCAATTGACTAGATTGAGTGAATTGTAGGTATAGTGCTGCTTCACCTGGGAGGTGTGTTTGGGCCCGTGGATACTGAGTAGGAAATAAATGGGCAGGTGTTACACTTTCTGCGGATGCCATGGGTTGTGGGATGTGTTGGGAGTGAAGGGGGAGTGGACGAGGATGTCCTGGAGGAATTGGTCCTTGCAGATGTCTGACAGGAAAGGGAGGGGAATACATGTCTGTGGGCAGCATCCCACTGGAGTTGGTGGAAATAGCTGCTAATGATCCTCTGGATGTGGATGCAGGTGGGATGGTAGATGAGGACATGGGGTACCCTATTGCTGCTGTGGAAGGGAAGAGAGGAGTTGAGGGCTTTAATGTGGGACATGGGTTGGACCCAATTGAAGGCTCTGTCAACTACGGTACGGGGAAATCCTCTGCTGGGGTAGAAGGTGGACATTTTGGAGGTCCCCTTGTTGAAGTTGGCATCATCAGTACAGATGTGATGGAATTGGAAGAATGGAATAGAGTCTTTACAGGAACAGGCTGTGGGAGTTGCTTGCTTTGTAGTGGATATTGGTGGCCAGCCTACCCCAGAAACAGAAACAGACATGTCAAGGAAGGGAAGGGAAGAGTCAGAGATGGACCAGGTAAAGGTGAGAGCAGGGTGGAAATTGGAAACCAAACTCAAACTTTTTGAATTCTGGATGAGAGAGGAAGCAGCGCCAATGATATCATCGATAAACCAGAGAAAGAGTTGTGGGTGGGGGTAAAATAGGACTAGAAGAAGGAATGTTCTACATCAACTGCAAAGAGACAGGCATAACTGGGGCCCATGCAGGTACCCATGGCCACTCCTGAGCAATCCTGGCAGGGGATGGACGATTTAGTGATTGTATTGAAGTCAGCCAGATGGACCTCACAGAATATGAGTTCCCTGATTGGGGTTGTTAATCTGGTCCAATCAGGGAGCCCTGGCCAACAGATATAAACAGGAGTATCAGAGGTTTTGTTTACACTGAGAGCTGGCTCTTGGGAAGCCAGACCAGTGTCAAGTACTATACGCATGTAAATAAAGGGTGATGTAGTGATGGGATATTGGACTCTGTGGAGTTATTTCAGATGTGAAAAGGGATTGCAGATCCAGGTAAAGAGGAGGCAGCTAGAGCCCGCCAACTGGGAATTCTGAAACTGACATACATCCGCCATTCCTCTGACACTTTAAGTGGGAAGGGACTCGACTAGGGAAGAACAAAACCGAGTGGAGATAGAATGAGATTAGTTCTGTCAGGCAGGAGCAGACAGAAACAATGGGTCTGTCTGGGCAGGTCTAAGTGTGGATTTTAGGAAGGAGGTAGATGCAAGCTGTGCAGGATTGAGCGACTATGAGCTTGGAGAAAATGGGAGGGGAGATCACCATGAAATGAGGTTAGTGGCCGTTATGTGCACAGTAGCCTGATGTTCCATGGTGGGGTCATGGTCCAGGAAGAGACAGGTGGAGGTATCTAAGAGCTGGCACTCAGCCTGTGCAATGTAGAGGTCAGTCTGCCTGACAACAACAGCATCACCCTTGTCAGCAGGCTAAACTACAAAGTCAGGTTTTGATCTGAGAGCACAGAATGCAGTCAGTTCACAGAGAGATAAGTTGGAATAGATAAGGAAGGGCAGAGAAATTGAAGCAACTAATGTCATGTCGACAGTTCTCAATGAACAGGTC